ATCAAGCAGCGCGGATTTGAGGTGGTTCGGGTCTGCAGCACCGGTTTGCCTTCTCGTGACCCCGCAGCCATCCTAATGATGTTTTGGGGCTGTTTTGATGTTCCTCAGCACCTGACGACGCTGCTGGCCTCCTCGGACATGCAGGTGGTGCTGGCCGTGCTCAACCTGCTCTACGTTTTCAGCAAACGCTCCAACTACATCACGCGCCTCGGCTCCGACAAGCGCACCCCGCTGCTGTCCCGTCTGCAGCACCTGGCTGAGGTTTGGCACCCCTGGGTGGGCTGGGGGGGGGCGTGGGGGCACCCTGAGGGGTTGGAGGGACGTGTGGTGGCGTCGCCTCGTCCCCAACGCCGTCCCCTGGTTGGTGTCCCCTCCCCGTGCAGAGCTGGGGCGGCAAGGAGAACGGCTTCGGGTTGGCCGAGTGCTGCCGAGATCTGCACATGATGGTGAGTCCCAAATGGCAGCCGGGGGTCCCCAAGTGCCACCCTGTGTCCCCAACCCCATCCTGGGGTCCCCAAGTGCCACCCCGTGTCCCCGCACCCCATCCTGGGATCCCCAAGTGCCACCCCGTGTCCCCGCACCCCATCCTGGGATCCCCAAGTGCCACCCCGTGTCCCCACATCCCGTGCTGGGATCCCCAAGTGCCACCCCATGTCTGCATATCCCATCCTGGCTTCCACAGGTCCTACCCCCGTGTCCCCAGTGAGGTCCCCAGGTGTCACCCCATGTCCCCACACCCCATCCTGGGGTCCCCAGGTGCTACTCTCATGTCCCTAGTGAGGTTCCCAAGTGCCACTCCATGTCCCCAACCCCATCCTGGGGTCCCCAAGTGCCTCCCCACATCCCCAACCCAATTCTGGGGTCCCCAAGTGCCACCCTATGTCCCCACATCCCATCCTGGAGTCCCCAGGTGCCACCCCCATGTCCCTAGTGAGGTTCCCAAGTGCCACTCCATGTCCCCAACCCCGTCCTAGGGTCCCCAAGTGCCTCCCCACATCCCCAACCCCATCTTGGAGTCCCTACGTGCCACCTCCATGTCCCCAACCCCATCCTGGGGTCCTCAGGTGCCACCCCATGTCCCCACATCCCATCCCAGGGTCCTCAAATGCCACCCCATGTCCCCATCCCCATCCCTGGGTCCCCATGTTCCCTCCACATCTCCCCCATCCTGTTCTGGGGTCCCCTTGTGCCACCCCATGTCCCCACATCCCATCCTGGTGTCCTTACCTACCACCCCATGTCCCCATATCCCCCCCCCGCTGTCCCCAGATGCCACCCAACACCCCCAGTCCCCTCTTGTCCCCCCATCCCTATT